ATAATTAATATATAAATTTTTAACGAACCTTGATTGGAAAATTATGATTCTTACTTAGAAGTCTAATGGAAGACAATTGTATTTGCGTCTTGCACAAAAATTCTTATCAAAGAATTAACTCATCTGATTCAAACCAAACTTTTAAAATATACATATTAATTATTATTTCTTTAGAATATGATAAGAGTATGAGTTACTAGATGAAAAATGCTTTGTACACGATAAAAAGTGTTGCATATGTACTTTTGAATTTGTTCTACATTTCATATCATTCTCGTCTAATCTAATTCTAAGCCATTTTCTCGAATATTTCAACTGAAAATATTTGTACATAAATCTGTGCAAGTCGTCGAAAAATATATCGAATCGAATAAGTGTGAAATGTACTTGGACACCTTGCATGGAAGTTGATATAAATTTTCTATCGAGTCATTCTAGCATAGAACAATAAAAATGGTTCACACTCATCGTTCCTAAACCTAATTAGATTTGATATGTAAATTATGCTTGATGCACTGATGAAAGTATGTGATGCCCCTGGAAAGATCAATTGGTCTTCGAAAATATATCCAGAATGATAATCTGAAAGGACTATCTTAGTAATTATATCATTAGACAGTAAAGAGACATGTACACACACCATCGTATGAAATTTGGCTTCAGCTACGCTCCAAAATATTTCTTTCTGCTCTAGTTGTAACTCACAATGTTGTTTCATATCAATGGAAAAATTAGCTTTTCCATTCGTTGGCTTGGCCATTCTGGACATACACACGTGCACACTCCGGAAATTCATACGTGGCCTTTGTGAATCGGTGTTAATAGCATTTAGAATGAATATACACCGAATGCTAGGTCAACTATGCTACGCTGATAATGTTTGGCGACAACCACCTCGACTGGACCTCAATGTGTATGATTGTGCGATCTTTCTATTAGTCTATTGGATCCTCTCAAGCACATCTAGGTACAAATTATGATAATCGAAACCTGATTACATTGTAGGAAAGACAAATCGTACTCGAGCGAGATGTTGGGAATTGGGTGCTGATAAATGACACTGTCCACCATCAATTTTGTGTTTCGATAACCAATAGGCAATATCCATAGATTTTAAAAATCATGTTTGCCCGTCATTCTCACTTTTTAAAAAATTTAAAAAAAGACAGTACTCTTCAACCAAATTTCACCATTGAGAACTTATGAGCTTCAACTGTTAGAACTATGCAAATTCTTCTTGCATAAGATAATTCTATGATCTCATAAAAATAACAGTAACATATAATAACAGTATAAATATTTAAATGAGAAATCTTATATAAATTTTTCACCTATTGGTTATCGAGATTCAAAGAAAATATAAAAACTTGTTAGACAGTGTAATTAACAATACGATGTGATAGCTGTCTGTCGTGGAAGGTCTGTTTCTCCTTAAACAATTTAGGGGAGACCAAAGAATCGGTTATCCAGCATATTTTTTTATAAATTCAATAAAAATCACCAAAAAGTACCTGAATAAATACTTAATTTTATACTCTCATTTTATGTCTCAAAATTCTCCACCCAGTTTCTCTATGTATATACAAATTTCTATATACTTATATGTACAAATTCATGCTATTTGTGGCACTGTTCTCATTACAAAAATTCATTACAACTTTCTGTACACAGAGCAACATTGTCAGAAGTTAACAAAAACTTTGGCACAGATATACAACGTTATAAAATATAGTTTTGCGGTAAAAAAGCTAGAACCATCGTTTGTAGTCTCTATCAACTGTAATTTCAATCAATCTTGCTCTGAAGTATCAGTTCTAATTCTGATATGAAATGTTTCATTCATCTTGTAACAACTATTACTTACAACCTAAACCTGTGATTAATCAATCGAAAAATCTGATCGAAATTATTGGAACCGAATAACCGATTCTGCTCTCGTTACGGACCTCTTAAAATTATTATAAAGACTAACATGATCTCGTTATATCATACATAAATATGTACAAACACATCTTCTCCTATGTCAACAATAATTCGTGTAATTACTCTTGCTAATGTCATTCATCCATACAAAATAATTCACTTAACAATGACTTTACAAATGTCCATTAATTATTAAAAAATTATTCAACACCTTTTTTTTAATTCAAAGGTCTTGGCAATTTTGTGTCATAAGTGACATCATTTTCTCTTCGAAGACACTTTGATTGAACAAAAGTTATATTTACTTTAATATAAATACAAAGAAATAAATATGTATAATTTAAACAAATTCTGTAATTCGTAGTATTGTTGTTTAAAACAAAAAATTTATTAGGACATTTGTAGATTCAGTCATAAGTGCTTTCTTTTATTCGTACACTCATGCTCACGTTATGTGTATGTGTGTATGCTTGATGTACCAATAATAGTGATATAATATTATATTTGTAATATTAGAATACTCTTTTAATATTGAACGCAACAGTTGCACTTTAAATACAGAATCACATGCCAGTCCATTGCACCTCGTATTGATACAAGACTATTGTATATAAATATCGTATTTTGCATTGGGTATGAGAACTATGCTCTTAAAAGTTACGTTCCATCACTTTTCGAAGGAAATCTCATTTTATTTCCAAAAGAATTTCCTTCAGAATTAAGATTTTTGTAATATATTATTTCCCTGAAGAATATTTAAAAAAAATATATTTATAACATTCTGATGGCCTTTTAAGACGACGAATAATTCATACTATAATATTATGCAACGCAATATGCATACAGCTATTTTTTGTATCATTGTATTTCATTTTTAACTATCTTTTTCCGTTTGAAATATTATAAAACGAAAATTGAAATTTTTGCACTATCAGTTAGAGTATTTTACACCGCTTTACATCACAATAATATTTACATGTGCTTCCCCAAATTAAAAATAAATATACAATGTTAATAAAGAAACGAGATGTTCCTTAATCGAAAGCAATTGTCAGAAAACTGTAATGGACATTTACATTTAGTTTCTTCTTATTTTGGTATTTCTCTGATATTTTCGAAAGTACGAAGATTTTACAACTGCAAAGAAAGGAGGAAATGCTACATAATCTTAAAATTCTGTCGAATTTTTAACTCTGATCAAAAATTGAAAAATTTAAAATAACGTTTAAAAATTAAACGTTTGTTAAAAAAATATATTTAAAAATTTCAAAATGTATTTCTCCATTAGAATGTTCAAACTCAAAACAGTATCATGTTTTTGTATTTACAACATTAATGTTTTTCCAATTTAACTAAAATTATTTATGGAAATCTCTCAGTAGAAACAAACTTCGATCTCTCACCATAATTTCCTCCGAAACGCGGTGGAACAATTCTCTCACAATTTATCCTATTTTACTGGTACGGCAACAAATTCATTCGAACAACTTCTGTATGATTTGGCACTACGTGTCGTCAGTTTTCTGTCTACTGTGATCCTCCTTGCCTGCCGGCTCCTGCTGAGTATTTTCCTTCTCCGTACACTTGTCCCTGTGTATATTTGTACTAGAGTCCGATTCGATATTATGTTCAACGAAACAGTGCACTTGGAACTCGTTCATGCTGCGCATGGACACTGTGCAGATTTGGCACTTGAACGGTTGCGTGTTCTCATCCGGCCTGGTGTCTTCCATGGGGAACACAGGTTCCATGGGTCTTTCCTTTGCGTTGTACTCGCAACCCAGCTGCGTAAACTGAGAAGGATTCCCCAGGAGGACATCAGACTTTGGATCTTCGTTAGCGATTGGCACATGATATGATCGAGACATGTCTGCGTCTGTGGTCGCTTTCGGAGGACATGGGTGCATTGCATGTTGCGGTATGGGTTCACCCTCGTCTGAAGAGGTCTCTCCTCCACTTATAGCTTGGCTGGGAAGCGCTTCAGAATCCCATTGCCCGATTTTGCTGGGGTCTTTCTCACAGAGCCTTTGAGCCAGCATCTGTTAAAAGCGGTCAATTTATTAGGTGCTATAATTGGATGTTTAAACATGTTATATGTACAAATATATGACCCAATAAAAATTGTATCTACATAATAGAGATGTTATAATTTGTTACAAAATGCTGAAGTACACACCTGAAGACTAGTAAGACTATTATCACAGTCAGTAGTATCAATGTCGTTCAAATTGACGCCAGACCTCTCCATCTCGGCATATGTTCCAAACGGTAATTTCCCTAAACACTCTAACTTCATAATGTGCATTTTGCTTCGGAGGTGCTTCGCCAAGTGACCGTGTATCCTGAATGCAATCTTGCAGTCGGTGCACTTGAATGGCCTAGGATTGCTGGTGGTCGCTGCTCCGAAGGTTGAAGTCATACTAACCTATAATTAACCATCAAACATTTAATTTAAAAAATGAGGAAATAATTCCTTAACATTAACTCCAGTAATTACTAAATCCTAGATTTCTTTTTATAGAATTTCTACCAAGAAAGTAATCCATCATTATCCCCTCAGACAAAAGAGAGCGCGGAAACTAGCTACAAGACAGCAAACAAAATAGTTTTACCTTGTTATGATGAGAAACAGATCGTTCGTGCTTTGTCAAGTGACCTTTGGTTCGGAAAGAAACCGCGCAGCTCTCGCACCTAAACGGTCTCTCGAAGTAGTGAATGTTGATATGCAATCGTAACTGACTAGGTTTGCTGAACACCTTGTTACAAATGCCGCAGACGCTCCTTCCATCCTCGGTCACACTGTAACTACATCCGGTAGACTCAGTTCTTTCAATGAAAACGATTCCAGCGTTTTACATTGAAAAATTTATCGCGCAACCAACCTGACATAATTCGAAGCAGGCCCGCTAGAAGGCTGCAAGAACTCAGCCTGTGGTTTCGAATTTCCCGCAGTGGGCGACGGTGACCTGAATCCTGGCCCTCCGACTACCATTTTCCTCGCTACAGTATGCTTAATACTATCAGCTATACTCTGCTTTGTCATCTCATTATGCTTCAACTCAACCCGCTCCATGTTTCTCATATCAATATTAGTCCTAGACACTTCCTGCAATTTAGGTACTTCATGCATAGCCAGAGGTATGGTTTCGAAGCTGACCCTGGACTCCTGCGTCTGAGGATGTCTGTAATCCGACAACAAAATCATATCTCTACTAGGGGGTCTATTATCCTGCCTCGAGTCCATGGTAGCTAATGGTGTTCCCAATGGTGTCATCTCTTGATTTAAGGGCTTGAACTCGCGATTAGGAGACCTTAACTCTGATCTGCATAGCTTATAGTCTTGACTTGGAGGTCTCAGCTCCTGTAACTGACCTCTATAGTCCTGCAATCTTAATTCTCTGCTTGGGGGCCTCATATCTAGGTTTCTAGGGCTTTGGCTCTGCATTCTCAAATCTGACGATGGTGGCCTGACTTCGTGACCACTTGGTCTGATCTCCTGGTTAACATTTATAGTCTTTAGAACTGAACTTCTATCAGTTTCATTATTCATATGAGAAATTGGCAGCAATCTGTTGTTAGCTTCCAAAGCAAAAGATTTAGGCGAGCTCCTGTTAGTGGACTCGCCTAGCCTCTCACAACTGTTAATCACAGGCACCCCATACTCCACACAAGACTTCGAGCTAACAGAATTCATCAACTCGTGACTCCCCTGTTCCTTGTTGTGATAAATTTTCTCCCTGATTTCCATCTTGACGTCATCCACATGTTTCACGATCTTCACTCTAGTGTCCATAATTGTATGTTGCATTTTGCTAGGGTCGGTGTAGGTCACAGTGAGGACATTGGTAGACTCCATGCTTTTCGACTTCGATGAAAGCTGCCTGAAGAAGTCCCTAGGTTGCTTCTCGGCCTTCGTAGTACCAACTCGATACTGCTGCTTGATTTTACTATCCATCACATGGCGCTCGGTCAGGTAGGCTTGCAACATATGGCCTTCTGCATCCTGCTTCCACTCCCTACCCTGTATTGGCAGCCTCTCCATGGTTTGAACTATGGTCTGCAATAAAACAGGTTCAGAAACTGGGGTCAAAATGTCTGCTGGCATGGCTCTTTGAGGAATAGGCGATGGCAGAGGTTGTAGAGTTGGTTTTGTGGTAAGATCCATAGGTTGAGGCAAACTATTTCTTGAATCGCCGTCAACCTCGTCTACTTCTTCATTGGTCTCCTTTTTAGATGATTGAATTACAGTCGTCCTCGACTCCTCAGCAGCCCTGCTAGAGGGAAAGTAATAACGATATGGAAGCTCGTTCCTGACCACAGTGGTGCCTTGGCTACTGACAGTTGGTCCACTAAGAGCAGTGTTGCTGACACTGACTGATATAGTGGTCGACGCAGAGGTTGTTGGGAAGGTCAGCGTATATGGATAGGTCGTGGGCCTGCCTGAAGGTAAGAGCCCTGGAAGTCTATTAGCGTTTCGCTGAGAGAGACTCAGCAGACTCTGAGCAGCTTCCTGCTCCTCGCTGCCAGATTCTTCACTCTCCTCTCCATCGCTTTCTTCTTCTTCCTCCGAGGATTCTTCGGTGTTGCCACCTGCTGCTAGTCTAGCGATGGCTTCCTTGTCGATGTTCTCATCGCAGACTGTAGTTGGAACTGGTACAACGCCCAGCTCTACGCACTTCTTATAGTGAGCCTTGGACTTCATGTGTTTGGTCAGGTTGCCTTTGGTTTTGAAACTTAAGAACAAAGGTTTGCTAAGTTAACGAATGAATATGAGATAATCACGATAATATGCGTCTATGGTTCGTAATTCACCTGAAAGCGCAGTGCTTGCACGTGTACGGCCGCACATCCGTGTGCGTTCTGATATGTTTCTTCAACATGGAAGGCTTCTTGCAACGGATGCCGCATTCCTCGCAAACGTACCGACCTCGACCTTGTGGGACAAGAAAAGAATGTAATTAGTCATTAAATATTACGGTCAGTGATCAGGGAGCCCCGTCGATAAAGAACGCAATGATCAGTGACCTAGCGAGTCCCGTCGGTAAAAAAGGTCATGTGGTCAGTGACCCAGTGAATCCGGTTGGTAAAGGGCACTGCGGTCACTGACCTACAAGATCTGCCCAGTCTTAAGAAATGCTTACAATCCTCACCTCTGCCCCTGACATAGGTATAATCCTCATTGCTCTCGAACCCTCCATCAAAAATCTTCACTCTCTTAGTCTTTTCTTGCGAATCACCGTCAGACCCGCTATCCTGATTCGTTGGCGTAGTAGGTCTTTGCGAAGAATGCGTTAAAATATCCTCCTCTTTTTTCCACGCGGTAGTATAATTAAGGGGCCGGTGTCTGGAGTCATAATGTGCCATGTCGACGTCAGGTGGCGCCTCCTTGCATATTTTCCAGTTAGAATACATGGACAAACCATGCTGCTGGGTGACGTACATAGGCTGCGGTCTATTTAGCGTACAATAAAACACCCTGGTCGAGCACTTCAAGCCCAGATATGTATAAGCGTGTCCGTTCAAATAAAGCTGTCCATAGGACTTCTTGGGCCTCGGTGTCTCGGGGCTGATGAGGGGTAACGTGTTCGCTGTGGGGGTGATACCATGGTGTTTCTTAGGCGTGAAGGTACCTGGCTTCAAAGGCAACGAGGTGGGCCTCAGAAACTTACTCGAATTGATTTCCTCGTTAGTAGCATCCCCATTTTTCGGAGACCTGGCCTCAGACTTGTCTTTCACTTCAACTCTAACTGGTCCTTCTGTCTTCGAAGTATCCACGTTTAGAACTACCATGGGTGCCACGGTATCGGCCTTCATGTCTGCTCCATTCAGTGTACTATAACTATCTATAGTTTTCGTTTTACTATCGTTGAAGTTGACTTTGAGACGACCGTTCTCAAGGGGCGGAGCCTGAGGTATGGCCTGAGGCGGGGGCGTGGTTTTACTACCCTCCGATTCGTTCCACGCGGAAATCCTCTTCCTGCTCTCCGATTCCCTAGGCGAGTATCGCGACTTACTGTACGAATTCGAGGCAGCGACATCAACGCCATTCGAATAACCAAACATCTTTCCATCAGCCTTGGGACTCCTGTCATAGAACTCTCTTCTAGAACCCTCCTTATACTTCATTGCCGCGCTATTCTTGATATGACGGTCGAGCTCCATCTTCACCGTGTCTCCCGACACTCTCCTATATTTCTCTGTCGCGGGGGGGTCTGCCTTGCTAGGAACTTTAGGGCTCATGAATCCGGTCTTCGTGATTTGCTGATCGCTTCCAGGCGTTTTAAATCCCATCTTGACTTCTTTAGCCGGGCTGGCTAGGTCAAGAGGCTGTCCTATCGGACCAGGAATCCCAGGAACACTGGGGGTCTGCACCTTAACAGGGCTAGCCAGATCCAGGGGCTGCGGGACCATATGAAGGCCAGGCAGACCTGGGATCACCTTGTACCCTGGGTTCCCTGTGGCGATGCTAGAGGATATATCTATGGCGGGTGCGAGGGTGTGCGGACCGGGCATTCCGGGTACGTAGGGGATCACTTTACCGGCGTGCAGGATGCTCGAGATGCCAGCCTGCGGTAGGGTCAGCGGGTTGTAGGCAGTGATACTGGTCAAAGGATTGAGATGCGGCTCCAGGTAGCTGTAGCAGGACATGCTGGGCGCTATGTTAGGGGCTGATATGTTCGGTATGATCGGCGCCAGCATCTGCGGAGTGCTGGCCAACGACATCGCGCTAGGTGTACTCGTAGGCGTGCCTGGAGGTTTGTGCACCATGGTACCACCGGAATGGAGCCCAGACCTGACTACAATCGAGGCTGTCTCCGAAGTGGCGCACTTGCTGCTGACTATGTGCTCGCTGGTCGGCGAGTTGGTCTGTCTAGGTTCGATCCTCATCGTCTTTGTCTCCCCGGTGTTGTCCAGAATCCGGACTTCCCCGCCGAACATCTGCAGCGAGTTCGGTCTTGGGTATTTACTAAGTTCCTCCAAGGATCGTAGGGTCGTGGGCACTGACTCTGACCTCTGCTTTTTCGCGGGCGGCGCGTAGGCATCGACTAGCCTCGTGTTGCCTAACAGAGGTCCTGGCGAGGGTAGAGGCTGCAGGGCGTTGTAGTAGTCGGAAGACTTTGATTCGAAGTCGGACTTGTCATCCAGTTGGCACTCTTTCAGGGGACTGCTGCCTTTGCAGTAGTACCTGCGGTGGGTCTCCAGGTTGTCGATGCTGGAGTAGGAGATGTTGCAGGTCGGGCAGAGATAGTTCTCGTTGTCCAATCCGTCCTGATTCGAATTTTTCAACAGCAGATCCTTGATCAACGAGCTCTCGGAACACTCTTTGCCATCTTTCACGAAGCTCTCGCTGTAGCAACGTTTCCTGGAAGACTCCTCGACGGAGGACAGATTCAACGGTTGGTCGACGAGGCTCTGCTGCCTCTGCATCAGCTTGTGCAGCCGCGGGTCCACCGCGTCGACGATCGCCTGGTTATCGGTGATAATCTTATCGATGTGCTCCTGCACTTGTTCGGGATTGGGCTTCGCGTTGGTGGAGGAAGAACTGTTGCTGGAAGAGACGGAGGAGAGGGAAGACGTTTCTGCGTCATTGTTCACGCATTGCAGGGCGGTGTGGAATTTTGGCTTATAGATTTTCCCGGTGCGGATTGTCTTTATGTTGGACACCGTGGTCGTCGGCGTCGACGACGGCGGCGGCGGGGGTGTGCCCGTGCCGTTGCTCGCGCTGTCGGACAGGCTGATATCCGAGTCCTCCGAGACCTGAAACATTGTACAGACGTTGTTATCGGAGCCGTTGCCGTCTAGAATGTCTGAATACTCGGATTGAAATTGTGTCACTTCGATCGAGCAAACCATTCCGAGTACCCAGCCTATTTTCACCCGCGTTTACCTTGCTGGCGTCGCCACCCTCCATCTTCAAAGCGTGAGCCCTGGACCTGCAGTGTTTGTAGAGGTTCGACTTGGTCTTGAAAGCGAAGCCGCACGGCACGCAGGGGTACGGTCTCTCGTTCGTGTGCGCCCTGATGTGCTTCTGCAGGACACTCGGCTTGGCGCACGAGAGCCTGCAATAAGGACACACGTAGCCGCTCTTCCTGGACTCGGTCGGCTCTCCGTCGACTGGTTCCGGAGAAGTCTCGACCTTGATCGGCTCCTTGAGCGACTCCTTCGCGCAGTCCTTCTTCTTGAGCATCTCTGGAGGACCGTCGTTTTCGGCCGCGTCCTTCTTTGGCTCCAGCTTAGGCGCGACCTCGGTCGTCGCCATCTTCTTGAACTTCTTGTGTAGGTACTTCGGCTCGCCATCGTTATTGTTGTTGTTGTTGTTCGACAACTGCGGATCTGTCATCGCCACAGTGTGAGTCTCTGAAACGGATCGTTTGCAACCGTGTTAAAGACGCGACAGCAGCACCGTTATCCGATCTCTCTCGTTGCAGCAACAGCGATAATTTCCATTGACATTTATCGCAATGATTATGCCGGCCGTTTAATAACAATCAAATCGCGTATTAGATGATACTCGGCTGAACCACAACAGATGAGGAAACGCCGCAAGATAGCAGGAAAGACGTCCGCATAATGAGTTCGTCGAAAACCATGAATCACGCGCCGCTTCAAACGGTTTCCTGATATTGCACACAAATTAGCCAGATCGTTCCGAGAATTTTATCTCGTGGTGCGACGCGGTGATTCACGGTGCCGCGGTTTCGTTCATCAAAATAGGAAAATCGTTGGGCTGCCGAAGAAAACCGTGTATCCACACGCTTCACATAATAAAAGAATTTCTTCGGCGGTTTCCTCGAACGCATTTCGTGTCCGTTTTCCTCGTTTGCACGGATAAACACCGAATAGGACTGTTATCAGCTTAATTCGCGATAAACGCGTTCGCGGACAATGGGATGTTGATCGACAAATTTCGCAGGATACGGTAATGTGTCGCTTACTGACGCCCGGATCGAGCCTTGCAGCTCGTTTTTGCAGCTGTTGACAAAGTCGTAACTATAACAAATGAACCGCAAGGATCGAACAATTGTATCTTCTCTACCTAAATTGTCCATATTTCAAGACAATCTGAGCGTCAATTAGGGAGACATTACTGTACCGAGGACGGTTCCCGGAGTCGGCGGCGATGAGAACGACGACAAGCAAGAACGAAGCAAGAACGAAGTGCGTTTCTTCGCAGCGTCTTTGCTATGTCCTCATTAAAATATGTCGCAAATATGACGACGAGGTAAACAAGTCTAAGACGTCACAGACCGGGCCGCAGCTCGATAAGAATATTCATTCGATCGTTACACTGCAACGATGGGTGCGCGTGCATCGGGCACACGAGGGTCTCCCAAATCGCTAAAAATTAGCAGTCGTTAGAAACCGTTCGCGGTAAAATTGTTCCCGGGAAATTGTAAACACCGAGCCCCGTGTAATCTTAATTGCACGTTGCATTTGGTAAACGGAGAAGGTCTACAGCGACGAAAATTCACGCGCGCGACAAATGCAGCGGAGTCTCAACGTTGGTAAACGATGATAACAGTAAAGCGAGAATCAAGTTTTGCTTTTAATCGAGAAAACAAAATCGAGAGAGACGTGATTCATTGAGGACTAATTCCAGTTGGAATCTTAATTCATGTATAAAGTCGAAGAGAGAGAGAGAGAGAGAGAGAGAGAGAGAGAGAGAGAGACGGCTCTACTTCAGAGACGCGTGTTTATCGGGTCGCTTAATATTCAAGGCCTAGAGCGTTATTCTTACGGATTTATGCGGGAATTGCATTACGAAAGCGGAAGGAGCCAAGTTCAACAGTTCAGATCGGTCGGTTCGTGTGGCTTGCGAGCGGTGAGCACGATTTTCCTTTCGCTAGATTTCCGTTTGGAATTTTTCGACAAACCGAATAATCCGTTATCGCAGACGGTAGATCGTCCATTTCTACGCTCTCTGTGCTAAAAGTCCCGAGGAGGCGTGGCTCCGTTGTTTAAACTATGTAAACCGTCCCGAAAGGCGTTCGCAAAGCGCCGACATCAAATGAGTTAGCTGTTCCATCGGACTTCTCGCGTACGGAATTATTAAATTCCTTTAACGAGTGCATTTTTTATGTGAGAAAGTTAGGGTTGCACGAGGCTCTCTCTCAGAGGCTCGAATATCGGCGCCCAACACTATTCGCGACGACGAGTCACGGTTGTTTGCAAACATCTTGCGCTGTAACCCAATTTAACTTCGCTCGGCTCGCGCGCCTAACACACCACTGTGCACATTCTTTTACCTCTAATACTCCCGCAAATCCGATCACCGCTAACTAAATCTGCGGATAACCGAAATCACATAAACGATACGCTTAACCTGAATTTCTTATAAAATCCGATGTACAGTAATGTCTCTCTAATTGACGCCCAGATTGCGCACAAAAATGGACAATTTGGGAAGAGGAGATACGATTGTTCGAGAGCCTTGCGGTTTATTTTTATAGTTATAAATTGTCCACAATTATAAAAAACGAGCCGCAAGGCTCTCGAATAATCGTATCTCCTCTTCCAAAATTGTCCATTTTAGTGGACAATCCGAGCGTCGGTAAGGGAGACATTACTGTACATATAACTTGCTGCGGTATTTTAGCAAAAATGCTGCTATCGAGATGTCGATTAGTGTTTCGATTGAAAAATAAGGGACGAAGCTTCGACTATGTGAGAACGATGTGCTCGATGGGGATATGAAAAACGAGACTTCGGGAGGCTTTCCCACGTATTTCTCGAAGAAGCATTCGGTGGCAGAACTTTTCTTCGGTGACGTCTTCTTGCATCGCTGTTCGCCGGACTGCTCGGTAATTTTGGATCGCGCTATTTATACGACGAAAGAGAGATACCGAGAAAACGAGACACTAGAGAGAGAAAGAGGGAAACAGAGGCAGAGAGAGTGAGAGAGAGAGAGAAAGATCGCGCATCGCGAGAATCAACCAGCTTTGTCTATGGAAGAATTCCCCGATGATTCGCCACCTTAAAAACGCATTGCATCGCGCGATCCAGCTACAAGTTATCGGTCAACATCAATCGATTAGCGACTTTCATCAATTTCCGTACGCCGAATACAGAACTCGGAACATCGAACTCTCGTTTTTTTCAAGAAGCTCGACGTTCGTGCGACAATTTCCGAACTATTTGGCTGCGGCAGTGTGTTATGTTAATTACTACACCACGACCAAGCTGGTCGATATCGAAGAGAACGTTGTTTGCGAAATCTCTGCAAGACGAAGGAGGTCGCTCGCCAGTATCACCGATTGGAAAAGTATAGTTCCCCTTTATCTGTGACCTTGACTGGCCTTAGCGCAACCATAACCTTCGGATTCGTCAGAATTCGGACCACTTTCAAGCGGCAACGCTTCAAGATACCGCGACGATCTAGAACAATATTTGCCAAAAGGGAACTACCGTCGAGAAATTATTATTACGGTCGTTTGTTTTCGTTGTAATCAATTTATCGTCTACAATTATTTACACGGTAGTTTTCCAGGTTGTTTGAACAAATCCTGCTAAATCGAATCGCGCTAAATTTCAGCTACATTAAATTAGAATTAAGTTCAGAATTAGATTGGATTGGACACAACTAGATGGGATCAACTAAAATAAAATTGCGCGCGATGAAATTCAACGGAAACAATTGAAACGACAGAATGGTACAATGATCGAAGCGACTTCGTGGACACTGTGTACATTCAGCGCGAAACCCGAGCAACGAAACGTAAGTGTGGCGAATATTAAAATTGTGTAATGAGCCGGCGAGAGCGCAGGGGGTTGATCCAATTTCGCATAACAGATTCATTGAACGCGAAGCAGCTCCTTTGTAAACGGTATAACCGGCAGCCGATGTTGTACATATACGCGGAACAAACGACGCCTCATGACTTTATTCGATCCTCTAACAGGAAGTCCACAGAAACGTACGAAAAGACAGCGACGACCTCCTGGAAGTTCTATGAATCCGTAATAATTCCGTAAAGAACCGTCGCTTTATACGAGCCTAATCATAATCTAGAATGTCTAGATTAAAAGTGTCTCCGCTTGCCATCGATTCATCGCATCGATTCATCGTACACAATCGACTGTTTATCCTAAGCTCGATTATACGAACGACGGTTATTCCCAGAGAAATTGTACACGGTTCTGCTAACGATCATCTAATTGTTAATATTGTTCGGTTAATATTAACGGAGCGGTTCCAATTGTTTCTTAAGTCTCCACTTAATTTTACTTATTGCAAACTATTTTTATACTCGTTAATAGGATCCGCACAATTGTTATCGAATAATTTCCGCTAGATCCGTTCGACAGAAATATACTGGAATATTCCGTACGAATTTCGATCTACCGATGTATTAATAAGATCTCGAAATTATACCGTGCAATAATGCGATGCACGATTATAAATACTAATGTATGAAAATATATCAATGGCCGCGCCACAGGCCACGGTAGTATTGTTTGTAAATTGTAGCGCATATCTGACGTTCGAAATAGAAGGCAGACGACTAAAACTGGTTGGTGCATGTGCTTCTGTTTAATTGGGCACAGAAAACAGTCCAAAGGATGATTTCATGCAGGATTCGCTCGTCACAACTGTCTCGTAGCGAACAATTCGATATTTCGTTCGAATTGCTGCTCGTATTCGATTCAAATACGTTTCACAACGTTGTCGTAACAACGTAACACAGTAATGTCTCCCTAATTGACGCTCGGATTGTCCACATAAATGGACAATTCTGGAAGAGAAGATACGATTGTTNTTGTTAATATTGTTCGGTTAATATTAACGGAGCGGTTCCAATTGTTTCTTAAGTCTCCACTTAATTTTACTTATTGCAAACTATTTTTATACTCGTTAATAGGATCCGCACAATTGTTATCGAATAATTTCCGCTAGATCCGTTCGACAGAAATATACTGGAATATTCCGTACGAATTTCGATCTACCGATGTATTAATAAGATCTCGAAATTATACCGTGCAATAATGCGATGCACGATTATAAATACTAATGTATGAAAATATATCAATGGCCGCGCCACAGGCCACGGTAGTATTGTTTGTAAATTGTAGCGCATATCTGACGTTCGAAATAGAAGGCAGACGACTAAAACTGGTTGGTGCATGTGCTTCTGTTTAATTGGGCACAGAAAACAGTCCAAAGGATGATTTCATGCAGGATTCGCTCGTCACAACTGTCTCGTAGCGAACAATTCGATATTTCGTTCGAATTGCTGCTCGTATTCGATTCAAATACGTTTCACAACGTTGTCGTAACAACGTAACACAGTAATGTCTCCCTAATTGACGCTCGGATTGTCCACATAAATGGACAATTCTGGAAGAGAAGATACGATTGT